AGCTAGTATATCCGCACGAAATAGTTTATTGATTAATTCTCTATAATAAATTACTCGAGGCCTCGTCGTTCGATTGTATATTATGTATATTCTTTACATAGCTTTTCTGCACAATGTGTGTATGTGTGTGCATGTGAGAGTGTGTACTCGGGCTCTCGATTCACTTTCAACACGCGAGTAGATATGCGCGCGCATGCCTTTATTATAGAGGAATTTTCTCTCACCAACTGACAGAGTACGTATGCAGCTCGGGCTCAGAGTGGCTTTCTTCTTCTTCCGCCGAGATGCCTTAATTAATTCCTAGTACAGAGTTTATCTTTGTATTTTACATAGAGTATCCAGGCGCGCACGGTGCACTTTTATGTATTAAATAATCTTCAATTATCCTTCTTGGCAATGATGCTCGTTAAAATTCGTTAAGGTCATTACGGGCGTGTATTTTCAAGTGCGCGCTACGAAGCGATTCGAGCTGCACACACGGAAGCGACCTCGCGCAGTTTTCGGCTCGAAATTTCCGACCGATCGGAGCAACAGTTACTCGCGCGCGTGTAAATCATTTGTCATATTAAATGGTGTGCTGGAAAAGCTATACGCGGGATGACACGGCGGCCAAGTAGTATATGATACGTACGCGTATGTATACCATCTAGCAACGGCCGTACCAATGCTTTCGACGAAGAAAATAAAAGCAGCACTGCGGCATTATATTGCTTTCTCTCTCTTTCTCTCTTTCTCACTCTCTCGCGGCGTTTACCGGTCTCTTAAACACTTTTTATTGCGACTCGCCCGTGGATATATAGAGACTCGCTGGAGCTGCAAAGAAGAGCCACGCACATTCACAGAAAAAGTAAGAGAGAGCATCATTTTTTGCACTTTTCCCGCCTATCGAGGCTAGAGAATTTTTTTCTCTCTCGATTTATTTTTCTTTTGCTTCGTTTGCGGTGGCGTCGGTACGGTGTCAATGGTGCTGGTGGTGCCTTTGCTGATGGTGCATCGGCGTACGCTCAAACGAGGCCAATTATAGAAAAATACGATCTTGACAATGAAAGAAGAAGCGGAGCCGGGAGCGCGCGCGAGCGATAGATATATATTATAGATGGTCCACAGAGGATGATAGCGAGAGCCGGAGAGAGGCGCGAAGCAGCGAGAAAAAGAAGCTCACAGAGCCTATAGATATATCGCTTGTTTTTGCTCGTCGGGCCGAGCCAGAGTATACTTTTCACCCCGCTGCCGCTGCCGGATCGCCGCGAGGAAGGGATAATGGATATCGACGACTTCCGTGACTCTTGACGATCCATGACGCCGCCGCCACGCGCAGAATAAATGAATCCACGTACGTCCTCGTCCCTAGCGCTCGCGCAGGACCTATCGCTGAAAATCTTCTACTCGAATGTCTTCAATTCCGTTGCCGATGCGGCCGCGGCTGCCGTACGTATGCTATGCATATGCACGCACGTCACGCTTATTCGGAGCCGCACGAGCGCCAAGAGCCCATATCGTTACCGGAGAGTAGTATGAGCAAAGATAAGCGAGCTTGAGAAATTGTACATGGGTTGAACAATAGGCGCATTAGCATCTGCCTCGGAAAGAGAGAAGGAGAGAGCCGCGAGAAAGAGTGGGAGTAGCTCTGAATATTACGAGTCTGAATTACACGTGGCTGCGTCGGTGCAACCTATACGGATCGCGCACAAGGTATATATAGAGAGAAAACCTACACTTATGCGTCTATAAGCCATTAGCTCTGAAATGTTTATACAGATTATTCGCCTGCGTGTAATGCAATTTTAATAAAATTTTACGACTATCTCGATACTGGACGCGTGAGGCGCGAGGCTTCGCGCGCTGGTAAATCTACATGTAATAACGCGTATACGTATATTGGGGCGCATATAATATAATACGCACCAGCTCCGAGCCTTATACCTTATATTATACGTGTTTATTAATATCGCTCATTTCTCGCGGATGTACGCGGACGAAACGACGACGACGACGATAACTACAAAAAAGAGCAGTGTCACTTTGCGTATAGCTACTTTTTTACGTGGTAGTAGCACTACGGCGACACGAGCTGGTCCCCGTATACATTAGCGGCTGTACATTTTCAAAGGCGAAAAAACGGTAGTTTAACCGAGCGCGGATCTATGATGGATCGTGACAAGTTTGATTTATCACCCGTATATCAGCCTTCCTTTATTCTTTTATACGCATATGCAAGCCACTGTGTTAGTCTCTGTGTGTGTATAAACGTGTGCCACTCCATCTGCGTATATGTATAATACAAATTATATTTGTCATGAATAATCATAAGCTCGAGATCATTTAGACTGATCTGAATGTCTAGTGAGCAGAAATTATACAGTCTTCGGCTGTCACATTATTACAAACAATTCGAACGAGCCGAACACGCAGTTCTTTCACCATTTCGCTTGAAATTTTTATCTAGCCATTTTACTCCGAGATAATATGCGTCGTAGGTAATATCGAGAGAAACGACGAAAGATGACGAGAACTCGGAACAGGTGTAATGCGACGTGATGACGAAGCCGAGCGCGCACATTAAAACGCGCGGCGTATACCCAAGTGTCTCGACGGCAGACCGAGTGATTCGGTTGAAAAAAAGAAAAGAGTAGAAAGAAGAAAAAAAAGCAAATGATAATACGACGCGTAATAAAGTAGCGAAGAGAGAAAAGAGAGTGCACAGTCGTATTCGTGAAAAAAGGCAGAAAAAAATTGCCGCGTAGGAGAACACGAGAGAGAGAGAGAGAGAGAGAGAGAGAGAGAAGAAGAAAAGAAGAAACTCGTTCAAGAAGTGAATTTTAATGGTCTCACACGCTTGCCTACACCCACATGCACACTGTATATAAGCGTATATACATATAGGAACGAATGTAAAGCGCGTGCACGCGAGCGCAAAGTAGCGAACTCCCCAACACATGTGTGTGTGTGTGTGCATCTATACACACACGCACACGAGTCACGAGCCGTGGCATCAAGCCGCGCGTCGGTTTTACCGTTAAATCCGCTAAACTATAAAGCAGTGCTGCAGCAGCGGTGGCGTAGGTGTGCGCGAGGTAGCCGAGCGCGTATATATTTATAGTAAATGAAAAATTTCAAAGCTTTAAGCAGTCACGGGGATCGAGAGATTTATTTGTATAAATCAGTTCATTTGTCATTTTGTGAAAATCAGCTACGGACGTGAGCGAGGGACGAAAAAGGGACTGTGAAAAGCGATGGGTCGTGCATTATATGCATAATGGGCCGAAGGAAGAATTCTCTCCTCTTCGGTGGCAACGCCCTCGCGCGAACGAGCCTCTCTCTCTCTCTCTCTGCTCTCTAGTGAAGCTATGTGCTCCGTTCTCCGAGAGCAAACGAGCTGAGTTATGCTAGAGCGCTTCTGGGAATAGTCCAGCGCGAGGAGTGCATTCATTTTTGCTACCCATACCTATCTACCAGCCATCCCCTTGCGTAGCTTTTCCCCACTCCCCGCGCCTCTATCTATTGGTCAATTTTTTTTGCTATACTATTTGTCTGCCGTTGCAGCCGCTTGTTTTTTTTTACTATTGTCGTCGCGGTCCTGTTTGCCCGGACTCGTCGTCTGTATGTGTATAGGATATATACTCTCGCTCTCATTGTGTGTATGTGTGTGTGTTCGTGTGTGCCGGAGCGAGAGCGCGTTGAAAGCGCGAAATGAATGCAGCAAAAACAAAAGTGCATCAGAAGCAGCGGCCGATCCGATAAGAATGCGTTCGATTTAATGAGTTTTTACTTCGGACTCTTTATGTATCTGTGTTTCGTATGCATGTGGAACTAGCTGTATGGCTAGAGTAGTAGTAGAAGAAGAAGCTTCTTATTTTCCTCCCCTTTTTGAGCTTAGCTCGATTATCGGATAAATGAGTCCCAAGGATTCTCATTCTCCCTTTCGCGGTGCTCGTTATGATAATGGACCTTTGGCAGTATCTAGTTCTTCTATGCACACAAACTGTATATATAACATATATCCTGGCACCGACGACAACGTCGCGGAGGAAAAATTTCTATCCGGCTGTTTTCAATTCACTTCGCATTTAAATTAATTCCCGATCCTATTATTATAGTTAATGCGTATCCTCCATACAGAGCGAGAGAGAGAGAGAGAGAGAGAGAGAGAAGGAATAATTGCTGCGACTCGCTATAGGCACCACACGCACGCTCTTATTCGCATAGTCTTCGTAATAATATATGGAAAATCATAGAAGTCGAGCAGATGCTTTTGTGACTACGTGTGTATACGTAAGCTCGCGAAACTAATTAGCGAATTGAAATTCATCAAGCGAGTTGAATGACTGCAGCGCGACTAATCGCGTGTATATGCAGCATGTGTATAAGCGCGTGTATATTATTATCTCTGCCGTGCTACGCGTATATGCGAGGAGCTTTACTCAGATCCTGCGCGCATACACACACATATATATATACACACAAGTGCACGTAATAAGAACACAATGAATTTGTCGAGTTTTCGTTCACATCGTTTTCTCTCCCTTCCTCTTTCTCTCTTTCTCGCTCTCGGCAACTCGGCACTCGAGGCGATATAATGCCTAGATATATTTATTACGCAACTTTTGCGCGCAAGACGTGCTTTAATATTAAAGCGGCGAAGAATCGCTACGAAAGCTTCGCTCGTGGGAGAGAAACGTGTCGACGAGAGAGAGAGAGAGAGAAAGAGAGATAGTAAACGCGAGAAAGATGGATGGAAACGGCAAACAAAAGTTTCTGTCAAATTCGGCTAATTATTTGCAGTTCGCAGACGAAGCGAGCATCGAAGTATATATGAGCCCCGAGTATAGGCAAGTTAATTGGAGAAAGGCGGAAAAGGTCAGAGAGTCGGTGGATAATCTCGACGCGAGTCAATCTGCGCCTGGCGTATATGTGTTTAGTGTGTTTGTGCGCGGGGGCCCTATATATATAAAATGTGCAGCAGCAGCTATATACGTGTATCGTAACGGTGGGGAACTTACTTGGATTGCTGTCGGCGTTGCTGCTGAAGAGGACGCAGAGTCCGGTCTCGTAGTTGACCGCCTGGCAGGAGTCGTTGGCTTGGCAGGTCTCTAAGCACTCGGTGAGCATGAGGCTGCCCGGTATCGACTCGATCAGATTCTTCGGCGACGTGTAGACGTAGCCGGTGACGAGCTCGAAGCCGACCATGTCCGGGTCGCACTCGTCGAGCTCGCCGCTACTGCCACCGCCGCCGCTACTGCCGCCACCGCCGTCGCTGTTGCTGCTACCTGCGCCGGTCGACGAGGCCGCCTGACCGGCCGAATTCGCGTAATCCGCGTCCATCAGGGGCTGCTCGTTGTTGTTATTGTTGTTCATGATGTTGGCGTTGCCGGGCCCGCCACCTTGGCCGGCGGCGGCAGCTCGGCTTTTGTCCGTGAGCTGCAGCAGTAGCAGCAGACCGAGACACAATGCCCGAGACGGCCTCAAGCTCAGGCCTGACCTCTTCTGTTGATGATGGAACTTTTGTAACTGTTGCTGACGCTTCATTTTGTTTTCCTTTTTTTTTACTCTTTGCTCAATAATACAAAAAAGCCACAAATAAATATGCACTACACTTTTAAGTTATCTTCCTCTGAAGGTAAAAACAACCGACGACGTGGTACGACGACGATTGCCCCAAGCACCTGCAAGCAGACATTGTTTCGTTGCATTATTTACTTTCAAAGCACTTGACATTCATCCGCCGTACATATATTTTATTTTAATATATATTTCTAATTTTCTAGACTAAACTAATATTTGAATTGGGTCAACGTTTTAAAATCATTGTATGCTCGACTAAACGCAACCAATGACACTGCATTCGTTTATTTTTTTTTATCTGACTTCCATAAAACGCCCGTAACTTCACCTCGTTCAGAAAACAAACGAGCAAACGTTTTACACGGAGTGTCGGAACGACGAACTGTCAAAGAAGAAATCACCTGATTTCTTGGTAATTTCTTTATTATTTTACGTGCGGCGGTATTCGAATGCGTTTTCTTTCCTACACGGCGCTCTTTCAAACGCTCATCTCCCGAGTGCTATCTTTTCATTCGGAATACGTATTTTGTATACACGCGCAGAGACACAAACAAACCCACGCAAACACACAGACTCGCAGACACGCATTTGTAGAGCGAGCGAATCGGTCTATTCAAACAGATGCACGCACGTAGCGTAACGGCCTGTTAGATAAAGAAAGGCCATTACGGGGCTCTTCTTTTCATTTCCTAGCCGCGCATACGTGAACAATATCTCAACGATACAATTGAATTTTTACCCGTAGGTGAGAAAATTCGGCCTAGCGCGCGGGAGACAGAGAAAAAGAGAGATGGATAGAGAGAAAGAGAGCACATTATCTCGACGATAAGAAGAATTCTAAGTAGAAAAAGGAGACTCCGTCGAGGAGTTCCCGTTACGTACACGTATAAGCTGTACGAGAGCGAGCGAGAGAGTCGCAGCTAAAATGGTTTAATTATAGAACCACGCGCGCTTCGTCCTTTCGCCGTAATACTTGCACATTTTAAAATTACGCGAGTCGCGCAAGCGAGCGAGCTGAGAGACGTGCAAAAAGGAAAGAAAAGGAGAAGAAAAAAGATTGGCTAATCTTTCGCGATAAAAGTGACGAATGGAATATCCAGTTTTCCACGGCGGCTGGCGCGATTTTTCGTAACCGATATATATTCCCCCGCGTATACGCATAGGCAGATTGATGCCGAGAAGTGCGAGTGCGGGCATACGTAACGGCGATCGCGTAAACGCGCAGATCTAACATATATTGTGATTAAGGTCAAAGTCATCGTTATGCGTCGGTCGTGCGTCTGTGTACGCGTCTGTGCGTGCGTATACGCATTTGTGTGTGTGTGTGTGTGTGTGTGTGTGTGTGTGTGTGTATGCACACGCTTATTCGCGTTTCGTGTCATTACTTTCTACGTAATCTGTTTGCTTTTCACTCGTGAATCACGTCCTCCGCGCACCGTTATTAATAATAATATACAGTTTCATTAATCGCTCCTCGCGCGCGCCAAGCGTGTACAAGCGCCCGCTGCTCCGTACTTGCATACACGGACACATATACACTGCACACACTCGCGCACACACATACACACTGCTGCATGACTGTGTCGGACACATTAAAGACTTGCATTTTCCACTTGCGCGACAGCTAGCTCCGAAGAAGACGACGACGACGAGAGACCATATACACACATGTTTATGATTTATCGCGCCGCCGAGCGCCAAGCTCATATACACGAGTTTATTTTGCACGTTTACCGATAATCCGAGCCGAGTATGTATTTAATAGTCGTGCTTCATAACATACAAAGTACGACTTTTTGACAAGATAATTTCACGCGCTTACACGAGGATCGCTTCCTTTTTCCACGCTTTTCCTTTTGAGACTTTTTTTCCCCCGCGCGCTCCCGACGAGACGGACGTCGGGCGAAAAACGGGCCGCTTATGGACAGGAAATAACAATAGCGACGAATTAGAAGTTTGCTCGGAAAGCGAGCATTACGAGGCAAAAAATAAAAAAAAGACGAGGAAGAAGAAGAAGAAAAATAATCAGTCAAGGATCTCGTTTTTCCGCCTCGTCCGCGGTGTGCTCTGCCTCGCACGCGCGCACGTATTATCAGAAAACGCTTTTTAGTCGCTGATGATGATGACGAGGGAAGGATGGGAGGAAGGCCGCGTGTCCGTTGTTAAAAGAAGCCTGTCATCGCTCGGCGCATCGCTGCAGTGCGGCGCACACATACACTTACTCGCACTCGCACACTGTTCCGAACGCTGCACTGAAGTTATGATGAAGAAGTGCACTTGAAGTAAGGCGGCGCGCGCGCGCGAGTTGCCTACGTTTACCTACGCGCGAGGCCCAATGTGTAATAATACATTTTTGCCCTTTGGCTGATGAAAACGTATACAACTTAAGTGTTTCAGAACTTAATCGCGCACAGTCTGCATGTATGCATTTTTTTCTCGCGCTCTACGTCTTCCTCCTCATTTTCACACATACACATCTTTCGCTCTTTCTCTCACACACACGCACACAAGCTGAGAAACTCATGCAAGACACTTTCTGGGCGTCCCTTCGCGCGCCTATACATGCGCACATATTCACGTGCTGCAAGTGTGAAACTCAAGCCGACACTTATACATTTTATATAATTTTCTCGGAGCTCCGCAGCAGCGAGGGCAAGTTATACGTAAGATCTAGCCGAGAATCAAATGAGATGGTTCTGGGATATGCATGTGTGCGTCTGTGCGCGGAGCACGTGGATGTATATACGTATTACGTTTTGTTACACTTCCTAGCGAGCTAGCTAAGAGATGAAGACGAGCAGATAGCGATGCATCGTATGTTATACATCAACACTTTTGCACAAAATTATATCCGAGCCGTCGAGCGAAATTTTTCAAATCAGCGAGAAACGAACGGAAAAAATAACACTTTGACACTCAACTCGAATGAAAAGCACTTGGATTAAACGAAAATGAAAAACAACTATGATTCACTGCCTAAGAAACGAGCAGAAAAAAAAATGAATGAGAGAAAAAAAGGTTGCTAACTGCACACTCGGTCGTTTTTAGCGAGTTGTCGTTGCGCGCACACACACCTGATGACTATTTCGGCGCGGTGCACTCGGAGCGCACCGATTCTCCCTCGCTGCGGCTCCTCTCACTCTTGCTTATCGGCTGCACTATGCTCGGCAGCTCCTACGAGGATAGATCCTGAAAAGACGTTCACCGGGACTCTCTCACTGTTCCACTGGTTTTTTCCTACTACTTGGCACGAAGGACCGACGACGTCTGCGAGAGGTAGCCACACTGTCTAAAGAGGACAGAAACGGTACGCACGATCGCTTCTCTCTCTCTCATTCCACCACCTCTTCTATTGCACCGACAACGGCGAAGACGGCAAATACGACGACGACGACGACGACGACGACGACGACCAAGACTACGAGTACGGGCAAGAACTACGACGACCACGACGACGAGCTCCCTCTCTTCAAACGCGCGCCTCTATACCTGTGTGTGTATGTGTGGATACTACTACAGTACGTACTATGCGCTCTCTCTAGGCATAGCTCGGTACACCGATTTTCCTGGCTGGCGCGCGGTATCGCTAGCAGCGGCAGCAACCGATCCCCTTCCCCCCATGCCCCGTCCCCCGCTCTCCCTTTTTTCCCTCTACGCCAAGGTAGTCGTACCTGTGCAGTCGCTGCCGCCGCCGCCGCCGCAGCCGCTGCTCTCTTCTTCTAACTCCCCCCCTTATCTCTCTCGCTCGAGCTCCTATCCTTCTTCGTTTTACCTTGCATACCTCCTCCACCTCCTTCTCTTCTTCTGCTTCTTCTACTTCTTCTTCTTCTTCCTCTTCTCTTTTTCGTCTATATCTATGTACTAACTGTGTCTCGATACGTATACTCTCTCGCGGTGCTCGGCAGTGCGAGTCGCGCACCTCTATGAAGCCCCGTGCGTACCGCGGCTAGATCGACGCGCTAGCCGTGCCGCTCTCAGTCGTCGATCTCTTGCCGATCCGTACACCGGTGTCTGCTCGTTCTTTCGCTGGATCGCGCTGGATCTCGACTCCGACTGCGCGTTTTGACGCTTTTGAGCGCGTGTATAGCAGAGCAGCGCCACTACGTAGCCACAGACAGCTGTCAACGCATGCCTCGGTTTGATTTATGGATGCGACTTCGGACATGCCGACTTTTCGACTCCTTTCTGTAACTTATCTAACAGCTAGGCGCGAGCCGACAAAAGAAAGCCGAGAAAAGTTTCGGCCTATCGTCTATACAAGCTCGAGCTCCTATCTAAACGTATCGCCGAGGAATTTTCTCGCGCGACGAATGGGCCCTAATAAAGAAGCGACAGCCACAGTGCGAACGAATATGTCGTTTCTCTCGTTCGCTCCAACTCAATTTTGTGCCCGATCTCTCGAGCTAAGAATTATGCTCGTCGGGTGTTGCCAGACTCATCTGGGCCGACGCGTGCGCTTATACACGCGTGCATTATGTGCGTGCGGCTCGGCTCTCGACTAATATACATGCTAAGTATCGCAGCTATTATCTAGCAAGTCGTTTTTCCTGCGCGTAACGATCGCTCGAATAGCTAATACTAATTTGTATAAATATAAAGTATAACGAGCCCAGAGAAATGAGCATCCAATATAATGCGCGCGGCGCATAGGCACGTTACGTGCCTTGGCCTAGCCCGAGCGAGAGTCTGCCTGTTATATGTATGATTGACTTTAATGAATGTTTCAGAACTATATTATACGAGAATTCTACGATTTTCTCGGCTCGAGCCTATTCGTGCATATGTGTGTGTAATGTGTATGTATGTGTGCAGTGGCTAATTTTACGCGAGCGCAATCGGCTCCGTTACACGCACGGCGTGCGCTCACTCGCGCCATTACCACTCATCGATGTAGACTATCTTAACTGTTATTGTTATTAAGTCGCTTTTGCGCAGCAAAATTTACATAGCGCAGGCCGCGCGTA